GTTAGAGGAGACCATATAGTAGCTTGTACAGCAGTAGAGGTTGCTAATAGAATAGCAATTATTCAAGGGCTTGCTGAGGAACAGAAGTCTGCTGTTGCAGAGAGATGTGCTCGAATATATGCTGATTGTAACCCTAGACCAGGTATGTGTTGTTATTGGAAAAAACATAGCAAAAACAGAAAAAATGCTTTAAAAGTGTAGTAACATTAAGGAGTTTTAAAGGACATAGCAATGTCAAAATGTAAGGCTGTTGTTCTTTTTCTAAAATTATTATTAATATATTTTTTTTCAGATTATAACCGAATGAAGCAGGAAAGGAGATCTAGTTTAGTTCGTTTTATGAACATCTCAAGACCAGTAGAGGAATTAGTTAAAGAATCACCTTGTTGGTGTGCGGCACAAGAATATATTAATTGGTAAGTTTTTTATCATTAACATTGGTACAATCCCTGTTACGAGGGTAAAAATTAAGAAAAGCCAGTGAACAGACCTTTTTCTCATCAACATGTCAATGAGTTTAAAAAACAGATGTTTTTGTAATCCAAAAGATACTTTGACCAGTTAATGTTTAGTTTACTGGACATTATACACACTCAACCATTTGCTGTCCTTTTTTGAAATGACATTTGGTTATGGTTGTCACTGCCAAATATTCCACAAAGAATGTAGTATATTGAAAGTCAATGACAAAGTCGTTATATGAAACTGTTCACAAGATCCTCTATTAATTCCACTAGGTATAGTTATGATCAGTAATCCAAGGGCCTTTCCAAACTATCACTTTTCTTGTAGGATAACTTACAGCAATTCTTAATCTCTTTCAGTGGCACAACGACATCACTATTTGGATACAAAGTCAGTACAGTAGAGGCTACAGCGGAACTCATTTATCTCAAACTTTATCTCAATGTCAGAAGCAAYTCCAAAAAGAGAAAAGCAACAGAATAATACATAGCTTAGCGGTAATTTTTGAAATRTTAATAATATAGTTACAATGATTATAATGAATTTATTACGAAAATGGTTTATACACCAAGTGATTGAATATAAAATGATACAATGCCGTGCTACTAGCTAGGTGTAATGTTAATGTTAGGGTATCAAAAAGATATCAAAATTATGAAAAATTAAAATTTATAATAATAATTTGAAATTTCCACCGACAAAATAATGGTTTCAAAGTATTGATAATTTGTTGGTTATTTTTGTTATTGTTGAAAACAATTTAAACTTGCGAGAATGATTTCCAATCAGTGAATAATTTGTTATATTTTTAAACTCAACAAAGAGAGCAAAGGAATAGAAATATAACTCTTTGCAAAATACTGCCTGGTGCTGTCAATTAAAAATAGCTTTATTTCAAGAGTTAATGTTACAAGCCAAAAGAGTGAAGGCAGGCATTACAAACCAAAACTAGTAATGTAAATAGACAAAAATGAAAGAAAATAACACAAAATACACAATATAAAGCAAACAAGAAGTCTTCTTCAGACTTTTCAGTGTTATCTTGAAAAAGATAACTGTCCCTTGGCATCACCACAAATGAAACCTTCTTTCATACCATTCCTACAGACATTATCTATCATAGTGATTATAAACTAACTGGATATCACAGTTCAATTAGCCTCCGTAGCAGATGTTCCAAGCGGTTCAATTCTCTCCCGCAGAGAGAATCGAACCGCTTGGAACGTCTGCTACAGAGGCTACAGTTCAATAAGAAAAATGGAGTTAACTTTCAAGATTTTGAAGACTATTTTGTTTAAATCTCATTTAGAGCCTTTACTCTTTGTTGGGTTTTGCAATTATTATTAATAATTTACTAGGGTTTAGTAGCACCAAAAGAAAAAATTGGAAAATATTGCTAAAAACAAAAGATTGAATTATTTTGAAAAAGGTTTGATATACGATTTATTGTAAAGAATCAAAAGTATGATTTATAACAACAACTTGAAATGGAACTCAGGAAAAAAAAACGTTTCTTAAAGTGATGCATCTCACTTTTGTGCAAATCGATAACACAATTAGAAAAATATTTGTACTTGTTCTCTTCACATAATAAAACATTTTTACAAAGATATTTGTGTACTCATTTTATGAAAAACATTTTGTTTGGTTGATTAAAAAATCATGCAAAGGTTTTGAGCATTTTATGCTAAATCCGACTATACGGATGCAGAATTATTAAATAAAATATTGATTATGGATAATTGCACACTTTGACAAACACAACAAATCAGCCTACTTTTTTATGAGTGCTACATTTTAGCTTCCATTTGGTGTGGTCAGATTTCCTTTTAAACTACACTAACCTGCCACTATAACAATAGACTGCCATGACTTTACTTGTTCTTGCTCGTCTTGGGTTGTTCAAACTTTTTCAAGTATGAAAAGTAGCCCTCAATAAAACCTTTTGGATCCTCCCAGTGTGGGTAATGACCAATGGATTTGTCAAGCTCTGTGTATGTTCCTTTTGGCACAATACGCCTAGATAAGGAAATCCAACAGAACTTTGAACTATTTTATAGCATGATTGCACTTAAACCATGCAACTGTACAAACTAAATGGTAGTGTTATTTAGTTCTCGTATTTAGTAAATTGTGCAGTGGTACGCAAATTAAATTGAATTGATACCAATGAATCATTCAATACCGTCTTGCTTCAGTTCCACTTTTAGTACAAATTAGTACTACTCAGATTTTGTACAGTGAGTAGCATGGTTTGAGTGCAATCACTCTATATTTTAGAACTAATATTTAGTCTTCATCGAAACTTGAATTTTAACAATTATGCCTTATCCAAATATTCTGYCTGGCATTTCCAGGAGGGATATAGCATGTCATGTTCAGTTCTCAAATGCCATTATAACTCAAATTTTAGATCAAAGGACAAACGAACTCGTGGTTTTCTTACCTAAACCTTTCCAGCATCACAGGAGGGTTGATAGGATCTGACGGCCCATAAATGAGATGAACTAAAAGATATCAGAAAAATCAGAATATAAAATCTATCAACCATCACAATAATTATATCTTATTATAACCTTATATAAAACTTCAGGATCCATCTTGAAAGGTTATTTATTATATTTTTGAATTGATAAGYCTTAGTTTCCATTAGCTTTGTTACACCTAGAATATACACCTACTTGCGAAAACGTTGTCATAAAAAATGGGACATTTGTATTTTAGTAAAAAGGAATAAATTAAAAAAGACAAAGGAAGATCASTGAGGCTGAACGCTCTCTTTTGTCTTGTTTTAATTWATTCCTTTTTACTAAATWCAAATGTTCTATTTTCTATGACAACGTTTCTGCAAGTAGRTGTATATTTACAAGTGTCATCATGATTGTAACTCATTTTGCTTTGATGCAGTATGATTATACCGWACTGTACGTAAACCACACGTCACAACACCTTTCAAGATGGCAACTGTGTGGTGAAGTTAAGCATTTAACTAAACCATAGTTAATGACTAAACCAACTGAAAAACAAATTCTTTATTGGTTTATTTTATATATACCTGGTACTGACGACTTTTGCATAGCTCCGACCCAACGTTCTTTATTTKCAGATCTCTGTCTTATGTAATCAAGTATTCTATAAATATTGTGAAAAAAGGAAAAATTCCTTTTCAGTTTTCTACATTGAGAATGAATGATATGTCACAAGTTATTTTACTTTCTCTACATGTTGGGCTTCCTGTCCATTTTGGGAGGGACAGGAAGCCCAACAAAATGATGCATTTTCATTGTATCCCTTACTTAGATGTAGCCATTTGTCCATCCTTGTGTCTATGCAGACTGTAAAAATCTTTATATTCTTCCCAGGAAGGTTTAGTATTTGGTCCAAAAAGATCTGAAATGCTGTATAAACAATAGAAACATTAACTACTATTGAAAACACACTCAGATCGAGAAACAGGATTTTTAAAAAGTATTTCACCAAAGCTTTTTGCAGTATCACATGTAGAACTCAAAAATTATAGCCTGATATTACTAAGATAAATAGTACAGAATTCATCAGACTTAGCTCTGTCTGACAATAATTATTCTATACACATACAACATATATATTCTGCATTACCTGTGACGAAATATATGAAAATTRRATATTCTAGCCRCAATAGCACTTATCCATGGTTTCAACATGAGCTGCAGTTGATAATAATTATAGTATAATAGTTAAAAACAAATAATAATCATTGTCCATTGACAAATCAAGAAGGTTGTCACCTTTTGAATGGGCTTTGGAAAGTTGGTTTCTGGGAAGATTCCTGAAATAAAAATTCATCATTTCAATCAGTCACAAAAAGTAGATAGAACAAAAATTATGTTTAGCCAGAGGCGCCAACTCAAGCTCACAGTCTACCAAGACTCTCATGTGTTTTGTAGTTGTCATGCAGTTTTTTAAAAAGCGCTTAGAACAGAATTGGATAAGCGCTATATAAATAGGATTATATTATTATTATTATTATTATTATTATTGATATTTCATTACCATAATTTGTTTAAATTCCAATTCACTCCCAACGAGTCAAACATTTTTCTTAAATAATGCTCAATTTTCACTTTTACCATGTTTTAAAACTAAGTTAACTAACCTCCATTTGAGAGACAGAAACTTTCAATTGTAATGCGGCCAGGCTCATTCGGTTGCTGTTCATCAAATCTTCAAAGTAACCACAAAAAGATAGAGTTATTCAAGCAATGGGCAATAAACGGTACTGTAGTCCTCAAAAATCCTTAATCTAAAACAATATTTGACAATAATTTATTGAAGCATGAATATAACAAATTCACTCACCTTGCCAACAATTCCAAAGCTACCGTATCACCTAAATCATGGGCTAAAATATGAATCCTTTTTACTCCAAGATTTTGTAAAAGTAGCTCAATGATTGTTGCTTGCTCTTTTACTGAGAAATCTCTATTTGCCTGAACATAAAAAAAATACCAAGAGAGTTTCCACATAACTTATTCAAGTACTAATATTCATTGCTCATCAATAACAATGACCTCGTTGGGGGTACATATAAAAGTGCTGCGTCTAAAATAAACTAATGTTGAATAATAAATKGTCTTGCTTACTGGCTTGTCACTGAAGCCTAAATCAAGCATGTCCACAGCTATAACTCTTCCAAACTTTGACTTTAAAGAGCCCCATATCTGTAATAAAATAATATTCTTGAGGTAATCCAAATGAAACCATTGAAAACTGCCATATATTGCCCAGGGATCTCAGGTGTGTTACCTTTGAGAAGTCGTAGGTACTTGTAGGAAACCCATGAATACACACTAAAACGGAGTTAGCATCACCGCTACCTGATAGTCGTCTAAAGATGAATCAGAAGTAAAGTACTTTTAAGTTAAAATTTAGAAAACAGGTCATCTAAGCTTGCAAAGAAAAATTACAGGAATAAATGACACAAAAAGAATAAAAAGCAAATTAAATAATAAAGAAATATTTAATAGTGTGGGAATGGGTACATGGGGCGTCAATGCATTTATCAAAGGTTATCCCCAGAGGCCATACCGGAAATGGACATTTTGCAGGGAAATATAATAAATTCCACACTTGTACCTTTGTCAAATATCTTCTCGCTCGGTTTATACTGTGCGCTGTCAAATTCCCACACAAGGGAAAGTACAAAATGTCAAATTCCCCAGGGTATGGCCTGAATAGACACGTGTTTTAGAATTCCCTCCCTAGTGCATAGTTTACACTTTACCTTTGTAAAACACAGCAAGACCTTGATAACCAAAGTATTTACCACTGTATCGCCATTCTAAAAGCCTTGAAGAAAGTTCTGGTGGAGGATTATTCATGTAAACCCCGAACATAACGACTAAAATAATGAAAAGAACCTGCGACGTTGAATATCGCTCCGCCATCTTCCCGCCTTTTCTTGAATCAAAAGCACCAGGCGTTCCTGTTGACGCATTGCATGATGGGGCATCACTAAAATATTTGTTTTTCTTTTAACAAAAGCTTCAAATATATCTTTTAATAGATCTAAATGCCAAAATAGAAGAGAAAAATTAGTTTTCGCACATATTTTAAGAATTTGAAAGTGTTTTTGTTTTTTTCGGGTGAGGAGTTTCCATAGCAGCCAAGCAGCCGCGCGCTAAACAAATGTGTAACCGCGCGATCTTGAACGGTCAAGTTGAAAAATGTCTTCGACAAGTCGATCAGGGAAGAAAGTCGATGTGAGTTTTGGCTTTTATTCAACAATCTACTCATGGTTTGTATGTTTTATTCTCGTAGAGGTAATTTTAGATAAGTGTTTTTTGTCTGATGTATAGGTATTGAATAAAAAGATCCCTGAAAACCCAAGATACAAGCATGTTCGCGCGACCGTTGATACTGGTAAGAACGAAAAATCATTAAAAATCGATCGATGATTTTCTTGTATAACTTGTAGCTATTTTGTTTTTCTATATTTTTTAGGCCATAGTATCTCAAAATACATGGAAAGGATTGAAGATATGCGAAAAAGTATAGCCACATAATTTGTTATCGCTTTTGTAATGCAAATTTAAGCTTTATGTAGTTGTGTAACAGTTTATATAAATTAAGTTACAAGTGAAAAGCTGTTCTTTCAACGATGTCACTTCTAATTGCTTGCTAAAGTACTCTAGTTGGCACTAAGCATTTATATAACATACTTTTTTCTGTAGAATATAATGCGATAACGAGTTAACACCTTCAATGTTTTCAATAGATAAAATTGTGTTCAAAAAAATGTATAAAAATGTTTGGTGGGCATGCAGTAAAGTTAAATTTCAAATGAAAAATTTCTTCTTCCTTAGACTACAAGTACAAAAAAGATGAAATTTTCAAGAGAATGAAATCGTCGACGTTTGCCCAGCTTGTAAGTAAAAAATTATAATTAATATTCCTGAGAGTTTGTCATTCTTTTACATTATTTTTGCAAGATAATGTAACTCAGCATGTGGTTTTTTGGTGAAACTCATTTTAATTTTGCTTTCTTTTGTTTAAACCTTCACAAGTCAACTCTTGTATTCTGACAATATTTTGCATAGCAGTTCAGATCAGTCTAAAATATTGTTTTAGATTTCTTGCAGTTGAAAAAATCTTTAATTTTTCCAAAAGATGTTGACTTGATACATCGTATATGCTGATTGCTTTTGTTGTTTAAAGGTATTACAAGTAGCAGAAGTTATTCAAGTTGAACAAGAAAGAGAAAGCTTGATATCTGCTGCAGGTTAGTCGGCTACAATTCCTTCCTTTCATCACTACTAGGTTATAATTWACACTTTGAGAATAGACGTTTTTAATTTGTTTGTTTGCTCTTGCAGGAAGTGAAGCATCAGATATCACTCTTGTTAATGAAGAAAGAGAATGCTCTGAGAATATCCCACCTCTTGACATATCAGATGAGAATGGAAATGACAGACCAGACACTACTCGTACAGAGACATCAAGGTCCACTCTCCAAGGGTAGGCTTGATAGAATTATAACATATGCCATCTAATTAGGTATGGTGTATATGTGTGAACACCAAGGCCTTCAAAAGGCACCAGAGGAGGCACTTGAGTTCTTGATTATTTGTTTTTGTTTACTGCCATCATACATAGTCGATAGAAGGCTACTACTTGTGGAGTCTTGCTATAAATCTAATTTAGACTCCTTTACTGCCTGACATTTTGATGAGCTTCCTGTCTGAGACTACTGTTAATAGCATCAAGTACTAATTCAAATTCCTGTCTCATTACCATTATTGTGTAATTAATATTAGTATTAGGTGTCACTATAATGATTTCTATTGTTTATTGTCTAGCTTGATTCATGGTGTTGGCGAGATTGACCTAAAAGACCAAGAAAAAGAAAGTCATAACCTTAACATAGAAGGTGTCACTCCAGCACCAAGTGAACCTGATGTAGAGTCAATGCCTTATTTATTACTTGATTTGAGAGAGAAGGATGCCTATGACCAGTGCCACATTATTGGAGGTATAAATTAAAATGCTTTATGTCCAGGTTATGAAAGAAGACCATTCGGTAGTAGAAAGTAAAGGGTCTTGTCAAAAAACAGGGGTGAAGTCATAAATTGGTGTAGAAATATTAATTACTACTAATTTAGTTAACAGTGTCTTAAGACCTTTTCTTTTTCAGCATTAAGCTACCCAGTCAGTATGTTATCCAGGTCTTACAATTACTTTACTAAGGAAATTCTCATGTTTGTATCCTTTATTAGAATTATCAAATTATTAATAAACTGTATAAGGCAAAGACAATGCGGA